TATATATATATATATATATATATAAATATATATAAATATATATAAATATATTTATATATACACAGGTGGATATACGTAAGATAGACGGAAACGAGGGTTGATCGAAACACACGCGAAAATGAAATACGTATTTTTTAAGAGTGTCGCTCGCACCGCGTCTCATCGCGTTCTTCGTTACCGAGTTTCAAGAGTTTCGATTGACGCGCGATACTCGACGAGTGCTTAAAACCTTCAAACCGGGAATTTCTTGCAGAATTTTCACCGTGACTTATCTCGTTCATCCGGAGCGAGAGAAACAAAATTTTAGAGAATTCCTTTTTCGCAGAGAGAGAGAAAGAGAAAGAGGGAGATTCTCGTGGAAACCTCGTCGCGTATCGCGAAGCAAAGCTCGCCTTCGAGCTGACCAAGCTCGATATAGGTCGGTTCATCTGGGTACTTCGCGAATCGATCGTACCTCGAGAGAACAATCTTCGTCGCGTGATAAAGGAAACCCGTTCATCTAGCGTTTAGAATCACGAGTTACGTATAAGCGTATAAGGGTGGAAACTGCCGGGCGTGTGGCGAAAGGACGCAGATCGGTTTGGAAGATCGTCGATACTGCACTGTCGATCATCGTTCCGAACGACGGACGACTCGACGTTTGCTTCGCGATCTGGCAGGTATTCGAGCACAAAAGTTTCTATCCCGGAAACGCGAATTTCCCCGCGAAATCTGCATCCTTCCGTGCTTCTCGGCAAATTCCACGGCCCTTCCGAGTCTTTCGCCCGAGAGACGCGTCCTTTCGCGCGTCTCATCTCGGCGAACGCACACACCCCCGAACCGTGACAGACACTCGTACGTACATACAATCCACACTCTCTCAAGGCACACGGTAGAGACGCACACGCATATAAAAATTATCGAGGAATCAGTGTTAGAGCCGCGTTTTACAGGGTATCCGGGTGACTCGTGAAATGATCGACTTGAGACGAGAACTTATCGTTAATTAGCTGTGACAATAGGAAGCTCGAGCGTCCGCGGGCGACCAGAAGCGAGAGACTGCCACTCCGCTTTTCAAGCTCCGCTCGGACACGCTCTCTCGGTTGTACAAAGGAAATCAGGCCCGTCGTCGTCGGACTGACGTAATTCTTACCTTGACGTTCATCGTAGCCCACACTCGCGCAAATCGAAACTCGTCTCCCGCCTTCATCTCGTTCAATCTCTCTTTGGTCCTCGTTTCCTCTCCAACGACGAGAGAGAGAGAGAGAGAGAGAGAGAGAAACGATACGCGTAGCTGTAAAATCGCGTTTATCGGTGCAGCAAAACGAGCGAGAAGTGAGAGAAAACCAGAGTCCACCGACGTGGACCAACGTTTCGACAGAGAATTTCATGGCGATATATCAAACGTAATAATTTGCGTGGCGCGTTCGTACGCGGTGCACGCGCGGCCGAGCAATAAAATTTTCACGGGGAAAAATCGCCGCTGCTCGGCCACGGACGCGCCGTAACTCACGTTTTTGAGTTATGACGCGGTCCAGATTATTTGGCACGCCCCGGCTGGAATTAGGTTTACGATCTTGCTTGAACTTCGTCTCGTTCAATATGTACGCGTGTT